TGCACTGGACTTAACACAACATCGTGACCAACGAGGTAGCGCATTTGAATTGTACAAGAAGCCATCAGTAGCTGGTGATCATAGAATGTCGAATGGAGGTGATCATAGAATGTCAAATGGTGGTGATCACAGAATGTCTAACGGCGGCGATCATAGGGTGTCAAACGGTGGTGGGCACTACAATGTGGATGCGCTTCGGTGACAACGACAGTATCCGGTCAGATTTTGAAGGTGATTTGACCGGGTTCAAATGAGCATAAATGCTTACCTAAAATTTTATCTCATCGAAAATTGTATATTACGATATAAATATTTATAAGATGTTCATAAATTTGTTTTTTCAATAGATGGACTGATTGACAGTAATTTATTTTTTATTTTAATTTTTTTTTTGTTAAGTCTTATGTGTATTTTTTTATTTATTCATATTTTACCGATAAGTAAACTCAGTTGTTTGTTATTTTTATTTTTATTATTATATTATTTAAATCACAATTTGTATTCATCAATATCCATCAAGATTAATTAAATGAACAAAAGTTAAAACAATTTGCATATTTTACATACAAAATGTGAATTTAACAAGCAACAAAAGTCTGAATAAATTGAGCATGCACTGAATGTACAAGCAGTGCCATTCGGTTGAACAAATTAAAAATTGTCGGCCAATTCACGTGGCCAAGTTAATGTTAATAGTGTTGACTATTAGATCAAATTTTTTAATTATATTTCTATAAATTTATATTATGTTAAAAGTTATTAAAATGTTCAAATATTTGTGCCTTATTTGTATTTCTTGCCCTTCTAATGTGCAAAACAAAGTAACTTGACGAAATATTTATAAACTATTTTACTTCCCAAAAGAATGGGAGATTAATTTTAATATTTTTGTGATTTTGTACCATTATGGTTTAATCTTATTTTTATTCTCTTAAATTTTGAATTAAAATTACGCTTTAAACAATGTTATTACAATATTATTATTATTTGATGTATAAATGCTTTTAATAGTTTCTATTTAACTTAAGTTTTTATCTCCATAAGAAATTTTTTTATTATTACTATGTTAAAACATGCTCCAACTATCCATAAATATAGATACTTATGTAATTATGTTATTAGAAAAAAAAAACCATTGCGTATAATAAAAACAAATTGATGAATGTTTTACTTTTACCTTTTTTCCCATTATGCTCGTGATAAAATAATTTCTCAATTTTATTATTTTATAAAAATAAATACAATTATCAATATATATGGATCTTTTCCTTAGTAAAGTATACTACCTATTTTTTTAAGTAAATGTTAAGTATAATATAAAGGACAGACTCACCTTAGGGATTATTGTTACTTTGCTGGATATAAATTATTTTTATTTTACTTGTGCCAACTCATAATTCTGACTTAACCAGTTTACCATAGTTTTCAGTATACCTAATTATGTATGTTAAAACAAAATATGTTACAAAAGAATAGTGATAGTAACAATATACCAAAGGTATTTTTATAGGTTTATGTCATTATTAAACCCTCCGATCCTGGCTCCCTCGCTGGCAGACATAATATTATAAATACTAGGCTAGGAAAGCCTTCTAAGATGTGAGGGCACGTGATCACCGGTTGCATATTGATGTAACATCAACAAGTTTTGTTTTTGTTTGCACCAACAAACAATGGAGGCCAGAGGAGAATCAATGCCAATAGCAGCAGTTCCTCCTTCGGTCTTCAATATCACGTAAAAAAAAAAAGTATAAGCCATTAAGTATGATATACAAAGTTCTTAAGTTTTTCATCATATGGGTAGTAAATAGTAATAGCTTTTTAAACAGGATCTGGATTCTATAGCATTTCTTTATTATTATAAAATAGCAGTGTTTTACATTTGTTTTGTGCAACAAGGATTTCAAATATAAAATGTTATTGACATGTGTATTACTATGTATGCCCAGTAAATTTTCTTATTAAATACAAAAATTGTAGGTTACATTAGTTATTTTTAATTATTCACTTTTATTGTGTTATATATAAGAACTTAGACTATTATAAATGTGTAAACATAATCTGTTCAAAGATAAAAATAAATTTGATATCGATGTACTTATATATTATACTACAATAAAGTTTGGTAAAGTTTTATAAATTGCATATCCCGCCAAATGTGTTAAAAAAAAAATTGTAGTTATATTGACTAAAATTCACTATTTGGTAAATTAGTAAGTGGGCAGGTTTACTTTGTATTTTCTCGGGCCGAAATCTCTCTCCGATCCGCCCCTGAGTCCACAAACAAATCGGGTTAGGTACTATAAATAATGGAGGGCCGTCCTTTCTCCCGAGTGAATATCGAGGCCATGGAAGATCACCATTTGGGAATTTGACAAGAGATTGAGGGTCTTCACCAAGATCTCCTGGACCAATAGGCTCATTGGAATTTGTGTTAAGAAAGAACAGATTTGACCGCAATGTATAGATATCACTTACCTATCTGATTGGCAGACTTTTTTCGAACAACTGCAGGCCTTTTTTCATGGTTAGGTTTTTCTTGGATTTATAATTACTCAACTGTCTCTCACCTCATAATATATTTTTCACTTTAACTTTATATGGGTATTATATTCAATTGTAAATTAAACCAACCATAATTCGGAGAACTGAGATCTTAAAAATAGTTGTCAAGTTATTCCTGACTGTACTATATAGGCATGTACCTACATAAACTGGAAAATCCAACTATTCAAACAAATAAAAACATTTTATAAGCTTTTCTGTTGTAGGCATAATTAAAAAAATCATATTATTATTATATTTTTTTATTTTACAGGGTTAAGACTTAAAATAATAAAATATTAGAAAATTGGTAGTAGACATTTATAACATTATACAATAATAATAAATTACAATGTATAGGTAATATATTAAAAACTCAATCATTATTTTTTATTATTACCATAATATATTATAAATATAGTATTTATTGCACATAAAAACATATTTGTCCATACTTTTTAAAGGCATATTTTATCTATTTATAATAAAATATACCTAAAATATGATAATTTATAATATTATATACAATACAGCTTTCAAATTTTTTGTTGCAAAATGTTATAAATTACATTGAATTATTTAGTAATAACCAAACTTTTTTTCACACACTCACACAAAATATGAAAGACTGTATGGCAATACATAATATGGCATAATAACTATGTTCTATACACCGACACTGTGTGATTAAATTATTAAAATATGATCAAATTCTATCATTATATACAATATTTATTATTTGAATCAGATAATATATAGTTAATTATTAAATTATATAATATACAAACGTGGTTTAGAGTTAGGTAAGTACCTATGTCCTATATAGTATATGTATATAGACTTATAGTAAGTGTATACCTAAAATTATACATACACAATACAGGATTAGGTAGGTATATGATATAGTTATACCGTATATCCAATTAAAATGTAAAAATCTTATTCGTTTGCTTATGAAATATAGATTAGCAGGAGATCAAACATAATAAATTACCTATAGTTACCAATGTATATGTATGGGTTGGGCTGTGGGGGACACAATTTTTATTATTTATTAGTTATTAAACTATTCATTATACTATACGTACCTACACATGGTACCTAAATGGATATTGAACAAGTTGGTTAGGTATTACTTAGTATTATTGACTATTTGGAGAATTCGTAACTTCCAAATAAAGTGTCATCCTCTATATTATATTATGTTCTACTTATTTTTACTACTGACATCAACTGCCAACGTATACAATATAATATATATATATAATATTTATTTCTACATTATAATGTAGGGTGGCTTTAATCATAAAAACATTTTTATAATTGCCATGACTAGATGTGGGTTGAAAACTAACTGTAATTAACATTTCGTTACAGTAAGAAATGTTGAGATTTTTCAGTCAAGGATTTATATAATTTATAGTTATACATACGACTAAGGGTAATTACTTACAGATAATCATGTTTGATATTCTATATAGGTATCTTAAAAGGTTGATATAATAAATAATATTATTACTCTTTAATCTTTGTATAGAAAATAATAAATTAAGCTAATGTATGAATAGATATAGGAAACTATATTATGAATATTAAAACAAAACCTAATATTTAAATAATCTCTACTTAAGTTTTAAATTTTAATGCAGTCAATTTTTTTCAAACTTGAAGTTGAAATATATACCTATACCAGTTATTATTAGGTAATAAGTATTTTTACCTTGTTGATTAAAATATTTCGAAATTCAAGCAAATTGTTATATTTGAGGTACCTATTATAAAATTAAGATGGAAACTATATTCTGTCCTCGAGGCCCGATGAAAAACTGAATTTCTGCCCAACCGACATCCTGTTATAGCGGAAGAGGTCTCGATGGCAGGGGGTTATCAAATATCAATTTAGTATGAATTTATCATTTAGTAATTTTTCGAGATATATGTACAGTTTTTACATTATTTTTTGAAATTTATTTTTAAGTGTAGTAAAATATTATGGAGCCCTTAAATCAATGGAGACCTCGGGACCTTGCAACCCCTGGCTCCATTATCTGGTCTTAGTCCCAAAAAATATTATAAAACTCGTATACCTACATTGTATTAGGTCGATTTTAGATCACTTATTGACTATTGATCTACAAAATTAAACCATTTAAGTAGCAGGGACGTAATTAGAGGGGATTAGGGGGATATATCCCCCCCCTAAAAACTTTTTTTTTTACTGCTAACATTTTGATCAACGTATTGATAAGGACCATTCATGTTTGCTAAAGACGTATATCCCCCCCCCCCAAAAAAAAACCAATTCCTGATTACGCCTCTGTAATAAGTAGGTACTGTAAACAAGTCATAAGACAATCTAACAATAATAAAACAGTTAACATACTTGGTTTACAATTTACATCTACTACTAAACTTACGACCATTATATAATAATAGTATAATACCATACAAGCGTATTATCGGACGAAGACGCCAGCCGACCAGTAACCTGCTCCATCGCTGGCCATGGTGGTGGTGGCTGTGTCGACCACCAACGCCGGGTGATTGTGTTGGTGATGGCGATGATCGACGGTCATTTCTTCTCCTTGACGTTGATGCTGCTGTTGTAATTGTTGCTGCTGCTGCTGCTGGTGGAGTTGGTGGAGGTGGTGGTGGTGTTGAAGATGGTGTTGGTGTTGGTGACGGTCGACCGCCATTTCTGGCCTTTGGAGTTGGTGATGGTGATGGCGTCTGCCGGCAGCCACTACCGTCGACTTACAGTCTCTGTCGGTTTCGGGCTTGACGCCACCACCGTCGGCCAACGATGACGTGGACGACGAGGACGACGAAGACGAAATGGACGACGACAATGATGGTGATGATGTGGGGGGAGTGGTTGTCGCGTTGGTCGACGCTGCAGTAGTGGCAGTAATGACCGTGACAGACTTACCGCCTCCGTCGCGGCCACCGCCATAAGTGCAAGCGTAAGAGCCGCCGCCGTCGATGTCAGATCCAACCGCCGGCGGTGGGCCACCGTACACCGACGGAACTGCACCGCCTGCGGTGTGCATGTTGGCCGCGGCGGTGGCAGCGGCCGCAGCAGCAGCGGCGGCTGCGGCAGCGGCAGCGGCGTACCTAGTGGCCAGCTGCTGGTGATGATGGTGGTGATGGTGGTGGTGAAGATGATGGTGATGGCCCGCGGTCGAGGCCACCACACCACCATGCCCACCGGACGTATCGGATACTGCTGCGTAATCGTACGTGGCCGCCATGTTGAAGAGCGCCTCGGGGTCGCAAACAAATTTGTAAACGTACCGTTCGCCTGGTAAACAATTAAAGAGAGGCAACCGTCACTACTCGAGCAAACACAAACACCGTGCGCGCGGGTGTGTGCACAAACGCTGAACGTAGGTATACATAATATAATGCGTGCGCGCTGCCTTTTTGCCGCCTCTCTCTGCTATATATATTACGTTATACGTACGCTCCACCTCGCCACCCCGTGCGAAACATAATATAGGTAATATAATGGTATATATATATAATTATTATGTTATATTATTGTGTTTGTCCAAACGAACAGACGAACAGTATACACACACGCCGTGGGCGACCGACGTTTGCGCGCGTACATGTATAGAAATATTATTTTTATTATATTGTTATTATTAATATTATTATGATCGCGTATGTGTGTACGGCGTACCTACATCACTTGATATATTTATTGGAAAACGGTTTGTTTTCTGTACCGAAAACGAAACGATGAGATTAAATAATAATGTATAGATAAAACACTGAAGTCCGACATACTGTGAATGAGTGCCTAAGTATAAATACATATTTTTACATACATATCTATTACCATTGAGTTTTATATATTATTATAATATTAAGCTCATTACTCATTAAAAAAAAAAAAATTTATAAACAGAGGTATTCAGAGTAGGTATTTTATACATTAACATATACATATATTTTTATAAAGATATTCTGATTTTAATAATGAAATTAAAATCAATGGCTGTCGTTGGTGGATAGTTTTTCAGGAGTTCAAAATAGTAAATTTTCAAATTGCATACGGTAATTGTATGTGGTTCTTGTAAATGTGTGAGTAGTAAGTGATCATTAGTGTGGAGTGGTTCCACACGCGCATGTACAAGTCACCGCCTCGTCGTTGCACGCGTGAACCGTAAACAATTTATGCTCACTTATATGTATTTTTTGTCCATACTACCGATCGAATACCGACTTAATAATGCGATAACATTTCATAAAACTGATCTGAATTCGTTATAATGTCTACTTGAGATCAGTCAGTCCACATTATAAGATTTATGATTTTTTTTTTATCTACACATTTTATTATTAACAATCATGAGTGACACAACGGGTGTTTCGATTTCATCGCGTAGTTTTCCCGTTACAGGGACCACAAAATCGAAACTTACCTGTTGTGGTGTGATTTGTATATTTTTAAAAACAGCTCGACGATTGAATAAGTTCAAATTTAAAATTCCCATTTTTTTTTTCAGATATACCTAGTTCATACGTTTGTATCATTGAAATCGTACCAGATCGTGTGAGTACCTACCTACTTGGTTTGGCAGTACAGTGATTATATTTCTTTAAGAAAAAATAATCGGAATAAAAACCAATAAAAACGTCCCATGACACCTTGGTTTCATAAGGATTACGCGAAATACAATTATTTTTAGTAAATTGATTTGTTGTTTTAATTTCCGACAGTGATTTCTTTTCAAAATCAAACTCCTCGGATAAAAACCATATCTGTAGAACCATGTCTGTAGATAATATTATACCTATATCGCCGACTGTCTGTTGATTGAGGAAGTCTGAAGATGGTGGTTATATTATAGAACATATTATTATTGATGATGTAGGTTCTAAGTACCCTATTCACTGTGCAGAAATCACCGTTAACGACGTCAGACTATACGCTTAAGGAAATTGAAGAAATTTCAAAGTGACAAATAGTATATAAAATGTCGCCCATATAAATTAACTATTAAGATTAGGTTGACTATATTTATTACACACACGAAATAAGCATGGATTTTTTTTTAAAACTTTATAAAGTTCTAAGTTATATTAGGTGGGACCGTGGGGGCTTTACGCTTCGCTATTTCTGCATTTGCAGGTTTTCATTGGATACTAAAAATGTACAATTTATTATATCTAAAGGATATGGATGTACATATACAATATAGAATATATACTTGTGACTTATCTGAGTTCCTCCGTTCCTCGCAGCCCCCTTTCTGCAAACGCTCTCCACCGATTTAATATCGTTATTATCTTTTGATTACCTACCGCAGTCATATATTATCTTCTCTCTGTTTCTCTCAATCTCGATTTTGAGTGATACGGTGTATTTGAGAAAAACTCTCAGTGGGTTGGATATAATAGGTATTTTGAAAACAATATAATATAATATTATATAGTATACATTGTAGACTGTAGTGCCTCGTTAATCCGTCAGAACTGAATTTGACACCACCGGTATAGCACTAGTCGAGGGGTCAAAAATAACTAGTGTATACGCGGATATACGTATAGACACGTAGGCGTATAGCTAGACAATTATTCTTTGGGGAGATGGCTATTGTCTGTAAACGTTTTCGTGACTCGGGTAATTTTGTATTTGTTTGAGAGGCTGATCCCCCGTTATTACCTCCTGCGACATAGGGCAGTTATGCTACTGCAAATTCACTATAGTTTCATCGTCATATTTTTCAAGTAATAGGTATATCGGGTAATTTTACGGCAAGTACGATATTATAAATTATTTATTTTAGCAAAATATATAATAATATTTGCAACTTTAACTGTATACTTTATAGGAACTGAATTTTTAGATGTACACGGTTATATTATGTGTATACCTTAAGAATATTGAGAAGTATATTGGAATTTGTTATGAAGTGCTTTCGAAATATCTTCATTATAATGAAGGTATACCTAGATAAATGATAATGATTCAAATACAGGTTATCACTATCGCTTATCGCTATGCATTACCTATACATTGATATAAGTAATAAACTAAAATAGGAAATCAAACACGAACAGTATTTTCAATAGATTTTAAAAAAGCTTTGCATAAATACCAATAAATAATAATACAATTATATATCAATTTGATCATACATATATTTTTCACTTTTTCTCCGATAAATCAGTGGTTCAATATAAATTGCCCAGGTATTCTATTAAAATGCCAGCCAATATAGGAAATATTTAAGCAATTGTTCATACTGCCTAAAGGCTAAAAAAAGTGGGCATCCTACACGATGCCCGGGAAATATAGTTTTACAATAACCGAAATCTCAACATTACCCATAACAGCTATGCTGTATAAAAAATATTAACAGGGAAACTGTTTGTCGCATCATTATCTCCCCGTAAGTATTTTACGATACGTTATACAATCTCATCGTTTTATTTTCCAAATTTAAGAAAAATCACATCAACTTGTTATTATATGTTAATATTTATATTTACTCACCAGCCACTTTCTGCATGATTCCCTTTTCGTAATAATACCTGAGTGACCGACTCAATTTGTCATAGTTCATTGCCGGTCTGTTCTTCTGTAATCCCCATCGTCTAGCCACCTGAGATTGTGCACAAATCGTTAAATCGTGTAAACAAATGATATAAATAATATATTTTTACCCACAACACTGTGGATACACATCCATTATTTAAAATGTTAATGTCTTTAAAATGTCCAATTTTTATAAAATTACGATATGTTGATATGGTCATATTTAGTATTTAAATACTATAGCGATATATCGTATGGTATTGTGCATTTTAATAAAATCCCACTGTCATGTATGCATAATATTATTTTAAAGTATACGTACCTCTTCCGGTTCAACCAGCTTAAACTCCATGCCCCTTCCGGTCCATACGATACACGACGCGTTGTTCGGGTCGTCCAGCAACGTGACCAGAAACTGCCATAGCTGCAACGCCCCCCTGCGCTGGGGTTGAGGAGGCGCGGCGACTCCGGCGTACCCTCCCCCATTACCGTCTTGGCCTAAAGACTCGACGGTCTTTAATTCTGAGACATCTCCTGTATACACACGGCATTAACAAAATAATAATAATAATAATAATAAAGACTATTTAATTATGTATATTGTATAGGTACGTATATATTTATATATTATATTATACACCACGGTGAATTTGACTGGAAAATGTATGGTCAATAAATAAGTTATTTTAAAGTTTATTTTTTGATTAAAATATTAAAATATAGTTTTTAATAAAAAGTTGTTAAAAAAAATGTTTTAGAATTAACAGCAGTTTAAAATTATTTATACATTCGCATTCAATTTCCTATTCAATAAATTATTTTCCTATCGACCAACTCAATTTACAACTTATTTCCTCGGAGCCAATAATTAATGAAATATAATATACTTTTACAGGGTCATTAAAATTACCTAAATAAAACAAAGTATTGAGGAAAATTTCACAAGAACTTAAACTTAAACGTATACCTTACCAGTTTCGTTACACAAGATATTTTGAAAGACCTTGTAGATATTATGAACATAATTATACATTTATACATCTATTATAGCAACAGCGTATACAACTTTTTGATATAAATTTTTAATTTTATAATATCTTATTTTTAATATTTTAAATCCTCTACCACGTCTGTGATCTACATTCTTATATAGTTATATGAATGACGAAACTTGATTCATGATTTTTTCAGCTTCCAATATTCCCACATAGTTGATACAATAGTATATTCAGTCAGTTCTATTATAGTAGGTACCTAGTTAATAATCATAAATCAAACCATAATATTATATAGTACCTATACTAAATCCGCATGTGTTGTCTTAGTCTTATACAAATGTACAACATAACAAAAAATGTTTTGAGCCGATCAACTTTTCTCCCTCCGTATTTATAGCATAATTACCAAAATTCCATAATGCGTATAGGGAAGAACTTTATCTGTGTCGTGGTGTTTTCATTTTTTTTTACAGCACTAACCAATAATTTTAAACAATTAAATGAAAAAAAAACCTAATGTTCTCAAACTGATAACTTTAAATGTATTTATGTTATCCAAATAATTGAAACCCTACAACACAGATAAAGTTCTCCCCTATGCGTTGTAGAATTTTGGTAATTCTTCTATATTTACAGAGGGAGTAAAGTTGTTACTCGCAAAACAGTTTTTTGGCAATGTTGTACATTAATTGTTAGACGGAGACAACACACGCGGGCGTGACTTCCTCTTAAGGTATTCAACAGAGCTCTGGAATATTTACATTTTTTTTATCAAACAAACGACAGCGACATGAGACATGACTTGTTGAATCGACCAGAATCGTTTTAGTCGTAGTTTAGGAGGCTTGGAAATTGTCTGCAATAATTATTTATATATTGGTATTATATATTTATATATTTTATTTGCACACTGAGGGGACTGGGAGAGAGCTTTTAAATCGACTAGATTAGTTTTCATAGTTTTTATCCCATACAATGTGGCTAGATATTCAATTGATCAAAGAACATTATTGTTAGTTCTTACCGTCCTGATGATCCTTATTAATGGTTATCGTCGGTGGCAGTAGTGGAGGCGGCGGTGAATGCGGGGGTGGATGAGGAGGTGGTTGTATGTGCATGTGCGTCGAGTGATGGTAGTTGAACACGTCGGACGTGCTCAAAAATAGCGGAGAACCACCTGCTGATCATCAGACGGTTGAGATTATGATCGATTTCATGACGTCATCATCATTATTAATATAGGCATGCAAATAATTATTATAACACTAAAATACAATAATTAGTGTGGGGTGTATTAAAGTGTACGTGTTTATTTTATTATTATTTTTCCGCATCATCGGATTTTCATTTTTCGTCGATTAATTAATATTAACGAGCTCGGCGATTGTTGTTTTTCGTTTAATTATATTCACAAAAACACGATTAATCTTAATGTTTCACGAGTTTGTTATACACACACATACCTATACATATACTCGTAGTTACATTAATTTACCAGCAGACTGTAACAGATCACGATATGGCAAAGATTTACCATTTTTATGAGCATTATTCGTAACAAAAAATGTTTATCATTAAGAAATTCATAAGACTACCTACTAATTTATTATAGTAACGATGACGCACAGTGGTACACTGGTACATACCTATAGGTATAATATAGTGTGTTAAATTTAATAAATGACGGTAAAAGTGCGAATATCGGTGAGCCCCGAGCTGGTTTTATAATGTTAGCATATAATGCTGAAAGAAGACAGAAAGACTTTAATTTTCTAACAGTATTTAAATAGATATAAGTCAATAAGTGAGCTGATGTGACTAAATGTCTTGATTTTAATAACCACTCTTAGTCCTTAGACAAAGCTCGAAATTTGGATTTCAACCAGCCGGCAAGTAAATCATATAGGCTATGGGACACCTATTCCTGCCGAAAATAAAATCGGTAAAATAATCTACATTAGCTAACTATAACTTTAAAACTATAGTTACGTTCTAATGTTCTATATATGACATTATATATTTTATAAGTTATATGTATATAAAGCTACACGAAGGGCGCGAGTTTTTAATTATTCCCTTTTTAACTTTTAAGGTAATTTATAATTCTATGCGTAGCACATGAAATTAAGTTATTATAGATAAACCATAGCTGATAATAAAGACAATTAAATAAATTACAAAAAATAAGAATGGTGTTCAGATTTGTCAGGCTTAGCCGTTGCTTAAAACTATTCAATTTCACCTGCAGCAATGGTAATTATCGGCGTGTCCCTTAAAATATTATGATATGTTAATATATTATTGCCACTGATAATATTATAAATAACTTATAATATAATATTATGATATATTCTCACTGATAATATTATAATATAAACGTTTAACCGTTTTTATTTAGGAAGCGACAGGTTAAAAAAACACAAATTGGTAAACACGAAAAAAGTATATCCTTTAAATATTTTACGTGGTGCACATATTTAAATATAATAAATTATAAACGCATCCATTTATTTTAATTATTCAATGAATATTAAATTTAAACTTTCATTAATCTCATTTTTGTGTAGGCGCACATATACCGTCTTTTATATTGTTCTTCCATTAATTAAAAATGTATTGTTTTACATGGACCGTAATATTAGATTTAAAATTGTATATCTGTTGACTGTTGTACTCGTTCATATATATTATATTATATAATTGTTTCGCAAGACTGTAAATAGTTTTTAATTCGCCTGAGTTATTTTCGTCTTAGTTTATCGTTTTATAAGGGACCCGGTATAATATTTGAGTATTCTACTATTCTATATTATATACGGTACCTATATATATATTATGTATAGTTATTACTTATTAGTTAATATACCCATGATATGTAAAATGATTTTGATGACATTCAGTCAACGATATTATGCTTGATATAGTAGCAAATATGAATAAATCATATGTTACTTAGGTATAACACAATTATCTTGCATTTAAATAGTATGAAAATATGAAATTAACTTTTAACTTACGTAATTAATTATTTTTAATATTAGCTTCATAAACGACGAGTTAGGAACTTGTCTCACTTAGACTTAGTTCTTAACTCAGTTCAAAAAGACCATTGGTTTGATGAGCCTATATGGGTGTACCTATATGGAACCTCTATATGGGTGTATTTAAAGTTTAGAGTTTGAGTTATATAGTAATATATAATATAAACCAATAACCATATTATAACTTATAACCATTTTATATTAGGTTAGTTACCCTGGCCCCGCCACTTCCGATTTATAAATGGAAATTAATGTCAAATTATGTAATATCATTTGTAATTATTTGTAACCACAAAAAAAAAATTTGTAACCCACCCACTTCGGCTCAAAACGAAGTTTCCATGTGGCGGGGCCACGGTGACGTCACTACAGCCCGCCACTACAGAAGTTCGACTTTTAGGTACTTGAAAACTAGTGGAGATTATGTAATATCATTTGTAATCATTTGTAACCACAAAAAAAAAATTGTAACCCACCCACTTCGGCTCAAAACGAAGTTTCCATGTGGCGGGGCCACGGTGACGTCACTACAGCCCGCCATTACAGAAGTTCGACTTGTAGGTACTTGAAACCTAGTGGAGATTATGTAATATCATTTGTAATCATTTGTAACCACAAAAAAAAAATTTGTAACCCACCCACTTCGGCTCAAAACGAAGTTTCCATGTGTTATATATGTTATACGCAGGGTAGGGTGTCAGCACTGCATTAGTCATAAGAGGGCGACCAGTGGTGACGACGGGCAGTCAGTCAGTGCTGTGCGAATGTGCGATAGTGCCCATGTGAGTGGTTCAGTGTCGGATGCTGACACTTGTGCCAATGCGTGTAATAAACTGAATCTGTGTTATGAATCGTTTATATAGTAAAGTTATTTCATGTTACAATAAAGTGAATCTTGTATAGTTTTAATCAATGAGTTGCAAATTTTATGAGTATATTGCTAACAATTCAGAAGTGGGATTTATTGCTACCTAACGGGGAAAGTGCGACCTCGTCCGTAGCAAACGCCGAAAACGGTTGCGGTACCGTCGTGAGTGCGATTCATTAACGCGTTAACTCTTGTGTGTAAGTTTCGTTCGTTTTGAATTATTTTCTTTATTGTAAGAAAAGCGTGGTTTGTGCGACATTTTTTTTTAAGTTCGAACATAACCTCAAATATTTGTTGTGAGGTTAACGATAAACGTGAGCGTTGTGTACCTAGGTAACTGCGGTTTCCGTTATCTCTTATCACCTTATCATAGTGGAGGTAAACAAACGAGATATGGGAAATGAAACCGATGCAAATTCGAACAGTTCGCCTGTACAGGGTGATATGGCTGACTTGGTGCGCGCAATGCTCGAACAGAACAGACTGCGTGAGCAGCAGATGGAGCAAATAATAACCAAATTAATGGACAACCAGAAAACGACGACACCGATGATGCTACCTAATCTGACGAAGACGATCCCAATGTTTAATGGCGAAACAGGTGATACTGATGCGGCTGCGGAGTGGTTGAATGCGTTGAAAACCGCCGCGCAATTAAACGGTTGGCCTGATGAGAGTACGTTGGAAGCGGGACGCTCTTATTTAGAGGGAGCAGCGAGGAACTGGTATCTCAGTCACATGGTTGAACTAAACACTTTTGCTAAATTCTCTAAATCGTTCGAAGCTATGTTTATGGCACCAGAAGAAGTAACAGAAACATGGAAGAGAATGTACGAGCGTGTACAACAAAAGAATGAAACGGTTTTCGCTTATTTCCACGACAAAGTGCGGATGTGTCGCCGGTTGAAATTATCCATGAGTGAAACCAAGAAAATGATTTGCGTCGGGTTACATTCTCGAGATATGTCAAGTGCATTAATGAGTAATGGACATGTACGTGAAGAGGAGTTGATGGCTGACATTCGTGAATACAACGAGGTGAGTTTAATACGTGGTGAACGTTTCCGTAGTACGTCGACACCGAGTAGACAATTAATCGCCGCGAAAAGTACAAGTGTACCGAAGGTCGGTACGGATAAACAGAATACAATTACAAGTAGTCCAATTAAGAAAGAGTTTCGTAAAACTTATGATGGACCTCGTTGTTACAATTGTCAACTGACCGGACATGTTGCAAGGGATTGTACGCAACCACGACGACCACTTAAATGCACTAAGTGTAAATTGGAAGGACATACATCTAAATATTGTGAAGTAGCCAATACGCCGGATGTGAGTCTAGTGAGTTGTCAAACTAAAAGTAAATTCATGTATTACATTAAAGAAGTGCGTATCAACGACAACAAGAAAACCGTCCGAGGTCTAGTCGATACCGGTAGTGCTTTCACTATTATAACAAAGACTATTGCAAAGTCCTATGGTCTTGAGGTGCGACCTAAAACGGTAAACATGTACGTCTACGGAAATGCTCAATCAATAGCAAGTTATGGTGAAACACAAGCGACCATCCATATTGATGAAGTGAGTGAGCTCATCACACTGGTGGTAGTTGACGACCAAATCCAACAATACGATATAATAATTGGCCGTTCCTTTACTGACTGTGAAAATGTCACATTTATCAAAACAACGGATCAATTACAGTTTGCCTACGGTATGATGATGCCATATCAGGAGGGAGGTGTTCCATATGAGTCCACTAGTAAACAAATAGTGCGAGTGGTTGGCGAAAACGAAAACATACCGGCCAATAGTATGAAGATGATAAAGGTAAATGCAGGTGACCATGATGTAGAGGTAATGCTCATCAATGAGGAAGATACTGCGATAAGGCTGAACAGGGATCAATCGGTAGGAGTTATCCGAGGTGGTCGGAAGTCCACTGAAAACAACCATGATGTAAAGACACCCATAACTGCGGAGATGGTGAAGTATGGTTCGACACTTTCCAGTGACGAAGTAGACGGATTAGTGCATTTACTAAATCGATACCGTGAGTGTTTCGCATTTAATTTAAATGAGCTCGGGTGTACCGATGTTCTAGCGATGGATATTGTGGATGATGGTAAACCAGTGATGAGCAAACCATACCGAGCCAGCGCATCTGAACGAGAAACAATTAGTCGCATAGTACAGGAGTGGAAGGAGGCGGGCATTGTCACTGAAACAAAATCAGCTTATGCGTCACCAGTACTATTAGTTACAAAAAAAGATGGCGACGCAAGACTTGTGGTTGACTATAGAAAGTTGAATGCTCAAACGGTGAGAAAAGTTTTTCCTACTCCTAATATAGACGAGCACCTGGAAACACTACATGGAGCAACGTTGTTTACAACTCTTGATCTTGCCTCCGGTTACCTACAGGTACCTCTAACTGAAACGTCTAAAGAGAAAACTGCGTTTATCACACCGAGTGAGTCGGGTCAATTCGAACGAATGGTTTTCGGTCTCATCAACGCACCCTATGAATTTTCGAGGTTGATGCAACGAATATTACAACCATTGAAAAACAAAGTCGCTATGTGGTACTTGGACGATATTCTGGTACCATCAACATCGTTCCAGGACTTGATAAATCGGTTGAGTCAAGTATTCGATGCACTTAGAGAAGCAAAACTGACTCTCAAGTTGAGTAAATGTCATTTTGGATGCACTGAAGTAGCATATTTAGGATTTATGTTGTCAGCAGCTGGAGTGAGGCCTGGTGATCAAAAGGCCATAGCCATACAACAATATCCAAAACCTAAAAACAAACATGAAGTGAGACGATTTCTTGGTTTATGTGGGTTTTTCAGAAGGTTCATTCCACGTTATGCGGAGATAGCCCGACCAATAAGCGACTTACTTCGGGATAATGAGCAATTTGTGTGGACAGAGACTCAGGAGGAAGCGTACAACAATCTGAAGGCCAGGTTGGTCAGTAAACCAGTGCTCCAAGTCTTCAACCCTAATGCGGATACTGAATTACACTGTGACGCTAGCAGTGTGGGTCTGAGTGGCATGTTGCTTCAACGAGGTGAAGGTAAGAGGTTACACTTGGTGCATGCTGTATCAAAAAAGACTACCTCAGCTGAACGACATTACCACTCGAGCAAGCAGGAGCTAATGGCAGTGGTCTGGAGTATGTGTAGATTGCGACCTTATTTAATTGGGATTAAATTTTTAGTTGTTACAGATTGTCAGGCAATAGTACATCTTAATACCCAAAAGACTCTGAACCCCCAAGTAGCGCGTTGGGCAACGCTCCTAAGTGAGTATAATTTTGATATAAAGCATCGTCCAGGCAGTAGGATGGATCATATTGATGCCTTGAGTCGTGCGCCGACAAGCATGTCACAGGACACTGAAACTGAATTATTGGACGAGCACATGGAAGTGTTTATTGCTATGACCGAGGAGGATCAGGTGATAGCAATGCAGCAGGCAGATGTGAAACTGAAAGCAATCATGAGTATCCTTAGTCAAGAAGAATCAGAACATACAACAACCGAAGCTGAAAGAGTGAAAGATTACCAACTTCACCATGGTATGTTATATAGGAAGGTGACGGTGGACAACAACGAAACAAGGTTATTATGGGTAGTACCTGAGTCAATGCGAAAGAGTATAGTGGTAAGGTTCCATGACTTGGCGGGTCATTTCGCAGTGGACCGGACAGTCAGTAAGATAAAAGAAAGGTACTACTTCCCAATGATGCGCAGATACGTGAAGATGCACATTAATTGCTGTCCTGAGTGCATACTAATTAAAACCCCCCGAGGAAGACAGCCTGGTGAGCTTCACCCCATTACCCCAGGTAAACGACCGTTCGAGGTGATCAACGTTGATCACATTGGTCCGTTTATGAAATCAACAAAAGGTAACAGTCATATTATAGTGTTGATTGACAATTTAACCAAATATGTTAAGCTATATCCAGTGAAGAGCTGTGGCACAGAGGCGGTAGTGACAAACTTACAGTTATTTGTGAAGTCATTTGGGACGCCAAGGCGAATTATCAGCGACCGAGGGACGGCCTTCACGTCTAAGGCATTCGAAGCATTCTGTGTACAATATGGTATTCGCCATACGTTGAACTCGGTGAGACACCCACAATCCAATGGACAGGTGGAACGTGTCAACAGCACCCTAGTTCCGGTAATGCAGTCAACTATGGAGTCGGATCAGACCTGGGATAAACGTATATCTGACATCGAGTGTCATTTGAATAATGCTTATAACAAAACAATCGGTGATACACCTTTTCATGTATTATACGGATATTATCCAAGTTTTAGGGACGGAGTGTTGCAGCATGTGACAACAAACGAGGTATGGGACTCTGCAGCAGAGATTCAAAACAAAATCCGGGAACGCATATCTAGAGAACATCAGCAATGGAAGCAACGGTACGATTCTAAGCATGTCAAGCCAATACGTTATGAGGTTGGAGAAGTGGTATTCATACGCAGACCACCAGAAGCCACAGGGGAGTCAACAAAATTGCAGTTCAAATACCGTGGCCCACTGGTAGTTACTGAGGTACTACCTAATGATGTTTATCGAGTGGCAGGGCTACGCGTCGAAGCTGGAAAACGTTATGTGACTGTCGTTCACGTTTCACATATTAAGGGATATCATCTACCAGCAAATGAGGAACCAAACGAAGACTCAACAGTGATGGGGCATGAGGAAGAAGATATGAAGCATGAGGAAGAAGACATGAAGCATGAGGAAGAAGACATGAAGCATGAGGAAGAAGACATGAAGCATGAGGAAGAAGACAGACCACGAGATGTACCCAATACCGAAGAGATAGAAGTAAAGAAGTCAGAAGTAAAAGACAAACAACCCAAACGTGTAAAGAAAACACCAGCTTGGCATTCATCTTACCAGATGTAAAAAAAAAAAAAAAATAAACAAATAAATATGAACTGTTTTAAAATGTTATTATGTGATATGTGCGATATAAGCACTAACTAATTCTTTTAGTAAAATGTAAACTGTTAGGTATAATTAAATATTAAGGATGTAATTAAAATGTAAAGTGTTCACTTAAGCGAGGACACTTAAGGGTCAGGACGCCCGAATGTTATATATGTTATACGCAGGGTAGGGTGTCAGCACTGCATTAGTCATAAGAGGGCGACCAGTGGTGACGACGGGCAGTCAGTCAGTGCTGTGCGAATGTGCGATAGTGCCCATGTGAGTGGTTCAGTGTCGGATGCTGACACTTGTGCCAATGCGTGTAATAAACTGAATCTGTGTTATGAATCGTTTATATAGTAAAGTTATTTCATGTTACAATAAAGTGAATCTTGTATAGTTTTAATCAATGAGTTGCAAATTTTATGAGTATATTGCTAACACATGTGGCGGGACCACGGTGACGTCACTACAGCCCGCCATTACAGAAGTTCGACTTGTAGGTACTTGAAACCTAGTGGAGATTATGTAATATCATTTGTAATCATTTGTAACCACAAAAAAAAAATTTGTAACCCACCCACTTCGGCTCAAAACGAAGTTTCCATGTGGCAGGGCTACGGAGACGTCACTACAGCCCGCCATTACAGAAGTTCGACTTGTAGGTACTTGAAACCTAGTGGAGATTATGTAATATCATTTGTAATCATTTGTAACCACAAAAAAAAAATTTGTAACCCACCCACTTCGGCTCAAAACGAAGTTTCCATGTGGCGGGACCACGGTGACGTCACTACAGCCCGCCACTACAGATGTTCGACTTGTAGGTACTTGAAAACTAGTGGAGATTATGTAATATCATTTGTAATCATTTGTAACCACCAAAAAAAAATTTGTTCATCAATCCTTTTGACTAAATGGTGCATGTCAATTATTTTCAATTTTCATTAATTAGTACTCACCCATGTTCAATTGTTTACCCTGTTAATAATTTTTTTTGAAACTTTTTATTCTTTAAAACAAATGTATTATTTATTTATACCTTTATATTATATATAATATGTTTTTTACATTTTTTCACATTTAATGAAATAGCCTTACTCAGAAATGGTTCTTGTTTTCAAAACAAACCTATATACGTACCAGGATATGACAAAGTCTTGATGAACAATACTTGTTCAGGAGATTCTTTGTTGTCAATTTTAGTGGTGTCTGTTGCAGAAAGCAATAATTATAAAAAGTATTTAACAGAAGGAAAAAATAATAAGAATGTAGCTGATTTTGTAAAAAAAAATGATCGGAAACAGACCGTCTAAAGAAATGTACAGAGATCGCGTATATTTGCTTGCACTACATTTTATAACGGAGAGCAAAAATCTAATTGGAGGTATAATGCTAATCAATACAGTGGACACGGCTGCATCGATGTGCGATGATTATTGGAAGATATGCCATCGTATATTAAATTAGATACTTGCCAAAATATGCTATGTTTTGAAAAAGAAAAAAGTTCGGCAGGATAGGTTGTCATTACATTTCTTGGCGTCGATGGGACTATTAATTTGCAAAAAGAAATAGACGATTTTTTTCAACCAATTACAAAATGCTGTGTATCAATAAATTGTAATTGCTCAAGAGAAGTGGTTACAAAACCAACCAATCATATAGTAGTGGAACTATTGTCAATACCAAAAGGTAAATAAAAACATCTTAATTATTTTAAAAGCATACGGGGAAGTGGCAAAATATCCTAATACCGTTATTTGTATTTTTTAGTCATTGCTTATTTAAAAAAAAAAAAAATAATAATAATAATAATAATAATAATATTAGGTACGTACTATAATAGTGATATTAGCTATAATTAGAGCCATTTGATATTTAAAATTAAAAAATAAAATTTGATTTAACTATTCTGTGCAAAATTGTTATTCTCTAAAAAAAACAAAATATTAGACATAATAAAACTGGTAAGTAATACTAAAGGGCAAAACCCCAAAGCTAACACCATAAGCACGAAAAATATTCAAAGAATTATTAAAAAAAAAAAAATGTAGTAACTAAATAGAATATTTAAATAATGTATTACATTGTAGTTATTTATATGATCATTTTTCATTATTAATAGGTTTTAGAGCTTCCGGTAAATATAGTCATCTTGAAAATACAACGAAAATTTCACAAAATTATGCAGGAAAGGTTTGGTTGAAACTTGGAGATATTAGTAAGACAATAACAATTAATGGAGATGTGTACTATTTAAGAGGGGTAATTGCTTTTGATGGATCGGCAAGAGAATTAAAACACTCATACGGCCATTACATAGCATATGGTTTGAGATCAAATGATCAATGGCAATGCTATGACGATTTAAAGGATCACGTATCAACAAAATCAAAAAACTTTAAAGTTAATGCTGAAATTCTATTTTATACAAAATAATACTTATAATTGTTAATTTTACATATTTTTCATTTGAAATAAAACAAAGTACCTGCACAACGTAAATGATCCTCTTCTCTGTGACCATATCGATTTTCTTTAATGCATGATTGAAATTATATTATATTCATCATAACTTAAGAAAACATTAAGAATAGCTACCAAATAATGTAAGTATTGCTGTTTGTGCAACACTGCAACACCACCGTTGCTCCGCTGGACATCGCGTCGGGTGTCGAACATTCGCGAAGTTGACCCCCCGACCCCCTCCACCACCCTGGATCGCGCCGCGTCGCGCTTCCAGCCGCGGGCTATCGCCGCAAAACTAGTTCTCTCTGGTACGTCCGTCCGTGCTTGGCCGGTCGTGTGTTTCGTTTTTGTGTGTTTTTTCGTACCCGCGCCATATTTGACCGTTGTGTTGTGTTCGTCCCCGGATCCATCCGGAGTACGCGTTTTCTTTCGTTTTACACGCTTACAACCGTTTACACGCCGTTGTGCATACGCGCGTGCTCTCGCATATTTTTTTAGTCTGTGCTCGGCCGTTTCGACCACGTTTGTGTCAACGCGCCATTCCGGTCTTGTGGTCAGTACCGTCGATTCCGAAAGTCATTCACCGTACGTGTGACTAACCACCGACCGCGTTCTTATTATACTTTGCTCGATTGTCGCGTGGTTGAGTGCGTATTTGCATCCCCGTTCGCCGGTCCCTAGTGGTTCGTGATCGGCCGATTTTGTGTTGTCACGTGGTTTCCCACTGTGCCCGGTTCCCTGCTGTATGCCGTTACGCCGCGAGCGCCGCATCAGGCAAGTGTGCCAATTCGGTTATCGCCGGTGCGTCGATCAACTCACCAGCCGCCGCCGTTGCTGTCCGTTGGTACCAGTGTCGTCGTGTCCAGGAGTCAGTTGGTATCAGTCCTTATCATCATCTTCGTCGTGCAGATAAGACCAACCTTGTTATTGTATATATATTATTTTGTACATCGCCATTCCCAAATCGTAGGTTTTTTGTAAGATATGATCATATCCCCCTGTGTATCATACTACTGTTTATTATATGTGTCGACAATAATAAGTTGATTCGTGCCACCAGCGCACACCATTCAATCTGTGTACGTCTCCTTTTATTTTTGTTTATGATTAGTCTCACAATTAAGGTTACCTACTCCTAGTCACACACAGGTTACTAGATATTCTTACCCGTCGCAAGTGTCGTACGGCCAGCTAGCGAGAGGACGTCAATAGCTCCGTCCGGTGCGCATACATTTGGTAGCAGGGCGTGGTTAGGAACCTTATGGGGGGTCCCAGCCAAGCGGCGTAGTGAATTATCAGCCTTTGTGTGACATATAGCTACTTGTAATCGTTCAAGATGGTCGAGACCAAGAAAGAATTCGCTGAACGCGAGGAGCGCCGTCGCGCGATCGCAGCCCTGAAGCGGGAGTCCGCGATTGAGGGTATAAAGGCGGTGCATGCCATGATACCACGCGCGAATTCCGAGCCGGACTTCGTACCCGAATTTATTTTAAATGTTGACGGGTTAGATGCGGGGTGGTCTCAGTATGAAGCGGAAGATAACACGGTATTAGAATGCCTTGTTAACTTAGGTAAGGCCAGTGAATATACTCCCGGACAATCGGGTGAATTACGAATTTTGATTAATTCCGCGAAGGCTGCCGCGAATTTACTTCGTCCGACTCGCACAGCGCCCACCGCGGGCCAAAACGTCGGTAACTCATCGTCCGTGTTCGACGCGTCGTCCGGTCCAACGTTACCGCGACTTCCGGAAATCCCCCTACCGAGATTTGGAGGCGATTTTCGCTTGTGGCCGACTTTTCGTGATACATTCACTAAGCAAGTCGATAGCCGCCAATACCTGTCGAACGTAGATAAGTTATATTATTTGACTGGGTGTTTGCATGGTGCAGCCTTGGATGCGATTCGCAGTATACCCGCGTCCGATGATAACTATCAGTTGATATGGTCAACTTTGTCCGCGCGTTTCTACCGCCCGCGTATGGTCGCGACTTCGCTATTAGAAAAAGTGTTAAACGCGCCGTCGTCGTCGCAGGAGTCATTGCACGACTTAACCGTTTTTTTATCTACATTTGACGAAAACATTTCGTTATTATCCGCGATGGACATTCCCGACCTCGGGTCGTTCATTCTGTTTACGTCGGCTTTCCGTGCGTTACCGCTCGCCACTCGCAAATTATTCGAATCCACCATGACAAGTAACGACGTTTATCCATCAGTCGATAAACTGCTGAAATTCGTGCGGGATCGTATTACCGTCTTAGAAAATGTGGGCGAGCCGCGGAAGACTAGTGCCAAGCCGAAGCCACAGCCTGTTACCGGGCCGTACGTTAGTCACCGCGCGGGGAAAAGTAATCCCGTGGCGCTCGTCGCCGCGAAACCAACGGAGCGTCATTCGCAGACTACTACCAGCTCATGTTCATGCTGTCAGGGTTCGCACAGCATCAGCGCGTGTCCGAAGTTCCGATCATGGTCATTGGACGATCGGAATCGATGGGCCCATGAAAATAAAGTTTGTTTTAATTGCCTCAGCGGTAATCATTTTATCCGCGCCTGTTCGTCCAAGTCGCGATGTCACCAGTGTTCGAAAAAACATCACACGTTGTTACATGGTGTTACTCCCAACCGTCAAGAGGAAGGCGGTGAAAGTGGGGGGGAAACACCGTCGTGTTGCGCGGCCGCGTTGGCACCGCGCCCGAGTGCGATACCAACGGTTTTGTTAGGCACTGCGTTGATTCACGCTCGCGACAGGGCCGGTACGTGGCAAACAGTTCGCGCGTTGGTCGACTCCGCGTCCCAGATAAGTGCCATGACAGTCGAGTGTTCCACCCGCTTAGGATTCCGGCCCCGTCCGTGGACCATGCCAGTCAGTGGCATATCCGGTACACCTGTCGTCAGCGTGAAGGGCATCGTCGAATGTCACATCCGGCCGCGTTTTGCGTCCGAACCATCGCTGACTGTGCAAGCGTGGGTGCTGCCTTCAATCACTAGCGACATGCCGCGCACCTCAATCCCCGTCGACATTAAGGACCGATTTTCCACCCTCGCGCTCGCCGATCCGCAGTTCAACGTCGCGTCACCGGTCGACATGTTACTCGGGGCCGACGTGTTTTCAGCGATATTGGATGGTCGTCAAATTAAAATCGACGAGGCACTGCCCACGGCATTCAGTTCGATTTTCGGTTGGGTCCTCATTGGACCACTTCCAGCGACCGCCACTTGTCATGTCCTCACCACACCGGTGTCATTAGCGACATCCATCGAGACTCTAATGGACAAGTTTTGGTCAGTCGAAGAACCGGACGCTGCACCTCCTTCCTTCACCGACGACGGTTGGTGTGAGAGTCACTTCCGCGCCGAACACACACGTTTACCGTCTGGGCGATTTCAAGTGCCGCTGCCGACGCGTAAGCCGGTATCCGAGTTGTCATTCCCGGGTTCGCGTTCCGTCGCGCTAAAACGTTTTGAGTCGCTCGAACGTAAGTTGATGTCTAACCCGACTCTGCGCGTGGCATATTGTGCCTTTATGTCTGAATACTTGTCGCTCGGCCATATGTCCGTGGCAGCGACACCGGGGCGATATGTCATCCCCCACCATGCCGTATGTAACCAGTCCAACGGAGACTTAAAAATCCGCGTTGTGTTCGACGCTTCGGCAGTGTCCCATGACGGGACGTCACTAAACGGCTGTCTAATGCAAGGTCCGAAGTTACAGCAAGACATCGTCGACATTCTAACCAGGTTCCGGGTGAACAAGTACGCGTTCACCACTGACATCTGCAAAATGTACCGGCAGGTGATGGTGGCGCCCGAGTACCGGCCGCTGCAACACATCCTATGGCGTGCGTCACCTCACGACCAGCTTGTCGAATACGAATTAAACACCGTGACGTATGGCCTGAACTGCGCTCCGTTCTTGGCACTCCGCGTGCTGGCTGCGATCGCCGAGGTGGATTGCGTCGGTCATGAGGGAGTACGGCAGGCGTTGCTGCACCAAACCTATGTCGACGACATATGTACGGGGGGCGACACAATCGACGATGTTTGTACGCTCCAAAGGGAGATGATCGCGGTGCTCGGCAACTCCGGTCTGGAGTTGAAGAAGTGGTCGAGTAACTGTCCCGCGATCCTCGACAGTGTACCCGCGTCCGACTGTGTGACCGGTCCTTTATCGTTTGATGCTGTGGATGGGATCGGGGTCAAGGTTCTCGGCTTGCAATGGCAGCCGACAGATGACGTTTTTAGGTGTGCCCTCCGGTGCGATGCGCCACCCGTATTCACAAAACGCGGCGTCTTATCATTAATCGCGCGTATTTTCGATCCGTTGGGCATATTCGCGCCGGCCACTTTCTACGCGAAGCACATAATGCAACGGACGTGGTCATGCAACCTTGGCTGGGATGACCCTCTTCCGAAGGATCTCCATCAAGAATGGTCCACTTTCGTTGAATCATTGGCCTGCCTCCTTCAGATTAACATTCCGCGACACTTCAACACGCAGTCCGCCGACCGTTGTTTATTGTTGGGATTTTGTGATGCGTCACAGCATGGTTGCGCAGCTGTCGTATACCTCCGCGTGTTGGACGACCGGGAGGACGTTTCGATTTCGTTGGTCGGCGCAAAAACCAAGCTAGCGCCGATAAAATCATTGACCATCTCGCGGCTCGAGTTGAACGCCGCTGAGTTGTTGGCGCGTTGGTTATACCGCGTCAAGTGTATTCTCGACCGTCAGGTCAACATCGTCGGTGTACATGCTTGGACGGACTCAACGATTGTCCTGTCCTGGTTGGTCAATCGCCACGAATCGTTTAAAATATACGTGTCAAATCGGGTACACAGAATTAACACGCTACTACCGAGTTGCGTATGGGCACACATTCCGTCCACGGACAACCCCGCCGATTGTGCTTCGCGCGGTGTGTTACCGTCCGAGCTTCCAGCGTTAAAGCTTTATTGGCAGGGCCCTGAGTTTCTACGTCGTTGTCCGTCATCGTGGCCGGTCGGGGCCACCATGCTGCCGCTGAGCGATTTGCCCGAAGTGCGGGTTTTGTCAGTGACCGTCGACGATCAACCTCCCGTTGTTGAATGGTTCGACGAGTTTTCGTCTTATGACAAATTGATTCGCGTTGTCGCCCGTGTGTATCGATTTATAGATCGTTGCCGCCGCCGCGCATTGGTTAGGTACGCGACGGGCGGTCCTCACCCGTTATGAACTCGACGCGGCACTTGATGCGCTGGTGATCGAGTCACAGCGTAAGTTTTTTGTACAATTACGGCACGAGTTATCTCACCGTCTCCGTGTGTCGTCCAAACCACTCGGCCGTTTATGCCCGTTTATTGATCCTTCCGGCGTCATTCGAGTGGGTGGGCGATTGCGTCACTCGATGCTGCCATATGATCGTCAGCACCCGATACTATTAGCAAAACATTCACGCTTGGCCTTGTTGGTGTGTCGTCATTGGCATCGCATCAGCTGTCATGCCGGACCTCGAGTCGTGACCGCCATTGTGTCCCAGCAATTTTGGATCATGTCTGTGAGATCAGTGCTACATCAAGTCAGCAGTGAGTGTACCAGCTGCGTCCGATTTGACCATCAACCACCTCAACCGTTGATGGCTGATCTGCCACCAGGCCGTGTCCAACAGTGCCGGCCGTTCGCGCGAGTGGGTATTGATTTCGCAGGTCCATTGCAGCTACAAGAGACCCGCCTTCGCAAATCACGGTCGTATAAAGTGTACATAGCTGTTTTTGTGTGCTTCGCGGTGAAGGCGTGTCACCTCGAGGTTGTGACCGAGTTATCTACGGCCGCGTTCCTTGCCGCATTCGACCGATTTGTTGCTCGGCGTGGTCTGCCATCCGACATTTTCAGCGACTGCGGGACCAATTTCGTGGGTGCCGATCGACAATTGCATACGCTGATCAATAGCCCGGAGGGACAATCCGCGCTAGGCGACTCTCGTCCGCATTGTTCCTGGCATTTCAACCCGCCCAGTGCGCCACATTTCGGCGGATTGTGGGAGGCTGCGGTCCGGTCGACAAAAAGGTTATTGATTCGCGTCATGGGTCGTCATCACTTCACTTACGAAGAATTCACGACGGTGCTGTGTCGAGTGGAGGCCGTGCTCAACTCCAGGCCACTCACACCGTTGTCATCCGATCCAGCCGACTTGGACTACCTATCGCCGGGACACTTTCTTATCGGCCAACCACTACTTGCCGTGCCGCCTCGGACATCGACAGAGGACAAGTCTAGTCTGGTGAACCGGTGGAAGTTGTTGGACCAATGTCACCAGGCGTTTTGGCGACAATGGTCCACCGAGTACCTGACCACACTGCAGGCACGCACAAAGTGGTCGAGCGGGTCCCCCAATATCCGTCTAAACGATGTCGTCGTCATCCGGGACAACCAGTCTCCCCCATTGTCGTGGCGAATGGGACGGGTGATCGCACTGTTGCCAGGAGCCGACGGTGCAGTACGCGTGGTCCGTTTGCGAACCGCCCACGGCGAAGTGACTCGCCCTGTAGTGAAGTTGGTCGTCCTGCCCACCGAAGGGACCTGCCCAGGTACCCCCTGTTAGGTGATACCCACGCTCTGTTCGCCTATGTGTTTTTCCCGCTACATACGCGAATTCCATTATATTTAAGTTTTTTTTGTATACTTGTGCTACTGTAACAGCACCCCCCTTATTTTAGTTTATATTTTGTTGTATTTTTTTTTGTTGTTTGGTGGTAAGTGGTAACAGGCCAGAACTGACTCCGTGAAGCTGTCGTCATCATCCAGTTATACCAATGCATCAGCGGATGTGAGGCTGCGCCTCCCATGGGGGGGAGTATGTTTGTGCAACACCACCGTTGCTCCGCTGGACATCGCGTCGGGTGTCGAACATTCGCGAAGTTGACCCCCCGACCCCCTCCACCACCCTGGATCGCGCCGCGTCGCGCTTCCAGCCGCGGGCTATCGCCGCAAAACTAGTTCTCTCTGGTACGTCCGTCCGTGCTTGGCCGGTCGTGTGTTTCGTTTTTGTGTGTTTTTTCGTACCCGCGCCATATTTGACCGTTGTGTTGTGTTCGTCCCCGGATCCATCCGGAGTACGCGTTTTCTTTCGTTTTACACGCTTACAACCGTTTACACGCCGTTGTGCATACGCGCGTGCTCTCGCATAGTTTTTTAGTCTGTGCTCGGCCGTTTCGACCACGTTTGTGTCAACGCGCCATTCCGGTCTTGTGGTCAGTACCGTCGATTCCGAAAGTCATTCACCGTACGTGTGACTAACCACCGACCGCGTTCTTATTATACTTTGCTCGATTGTCGCGTGGTTGAGTGCGTATTTGCATCCCCGTTCGCCGGTCCCTAGTGGTTCGTGATCGGCCGATTTTGTGTTGTCACGTGGTTTCCCACTGTGCCCGGTTGCATTTTAACATACCCTACATTGTTTCACAACCGGGCTTTCCTGATTGGTTTAATTTAAATTCGCGCGCATAATATCATAATATTTAAATTATAATCTTATCAATTCTATTTTATCAATTATCCTGCTATTATCCTCTTATCAATAATCTAACTAATTAAAATAATTAAATATTAATTAATTATATATTATACGAAATGTTCCTTCCAAGTTCTTTTTTAAACAAATTGAAAGAAGAGAAGTTGAACTACGTAGAGATTCGTAGTAATCTTAAAACAATTGAAGATATTAAACAATGGGTCGAGGAATTTGGACTATTAACTAAAACTCAGTGGATATCTAGGAGTTCTAATCCAAGTGGAACAAAAATATTGTGTTCGTAAGTATAGTTAGGACCATAGGCGCACATAGTGTTTGTGATTAGGAAAACTTTGGGGAGGGTTAGCCCCTAAAGCCCCCAATTTGTGCCTATGTACTGGGTTTAGAACATTTTATATTTATTACATACATAACAATATTATTTAGAGTACCTAGGTATATTATTTTAAGTATGTATCTAGTAACAATAACAATAGTTAAATTATTATTAATTGGTAGGTATATGTTTAATTTTATTAATTACATTATCCTAATTCAACTGTTTTACAAGTATCTAAACTAATGCTAATTAGTATTTAGTTGGTATATATATTAGTATTCTTTGTACTACAATATTTATACCTACATTATGTATGTATTCTGTCATACAGATACCTAGTACCTACCTAAATGATAAATTTATATTAGTTACAGTAATACATTATACTTTTGTTACTATTTAACTACCTAGTAATAAATTAATATAATTACCATTAAACTTGTGTTTTGTTACTATTTAAAATTCATTAGGAAAAAGTTTGTTTGTCACCACAGTGAATTTAATAAAGTGCCAACTGAAAAAAATATAAAAGGAAATTCCAAAAACACTCAATGTCCAGCATATATATTATGTACAATAAAATTAGACACACCTTGGACAAGAAAAACTGATAGTTTTGTAAAGGTAAGAGTGCCAAACTATTTAGTACCTACTTTTAAATTACTAAATATAAATTAATAACTTTTAAATTACTAAATAATAAATTACTCAACTACTTTAATTAATTAATCTTTTGTAAAAATATATAATATAATACTATAATATGTGATTCATACAAACGAGGTTGTATCTTTGAAAAATACTAATAATTATGAAAGTAATTTAATGAGTAAAACATATTATAAAAGTATTATAATTTTTTAGGTACCTATGTTAATAAATTAATACTTCTTTAAATGTTGCTATCAATATAAGAAGTTCAAATAATTCAACAAAAAAAATACTTAATAGCTAGATTTTTTTTAAACTGCCTGCATAAAATATATTTTCATTATTCTACACTAATCTATCATTTTTTAATAAGACTAATTTTTTTTTTACTAATTGAAAAAAATTGGCTTTTAAGCTAAAGTTTTACAATTCCCTATTTCAGTTTGTGTTACTTGGTCGATATTCATCTATTACTTAATGAAAACATATCATTTTAGCCTAAATTTAATTTTAAGTTTAACGATAAATAGGTACCTACATAATATATTAAACATTTATCATACATAAGTACACTGTAACTTCTTAGAGGTTAATAACAATCTATGATTTTTGATTTATTTCCATAGGTACATCAATCATAAAAAGCTTTGTTTAATATACTTATATTATAGATTAATGTTGATAATTTTTAAATTTAAAATGTTGATAAATACCTTACATTGACTTTTATTTATTAATTACATTATTTTTATTTTTCAAATAATTCTGAAATATTGTCAGGATGGTTTGTTGGCTTCAATAAAGATTTATAGTTGTCATTCCCATACATTGGAAACTGCTGAAGCTCTAAGATTTTTACCAGCTAAAAAAAATCTTCAAAACACATTTATAGAGTATTTTAACAATGGTATGGGAATAATTGAATCCACAAAATTTCATGAACATGTCTTATCATTAAATGATGATTTTAATAAGAAAAATTATGCTAATGGTGCTATAAACCCAACATACCGCTGTGTACAAAATTGGCATGAGCAATGGCGTCTTAAAAACCTTGGTCCACGGTGTGGTTCGGGGTTAATTGAAGTGAGTATTAGTTTACCTCATATTTTTTTGTAATATTTTATTAACTTATAGCAATCTTAATTTATAATTTATTTTGGTATTCTTGTTATAAGCATATAATGTTCTGAATTAAATGATTGTTCTTACCCATAGGCGCAATTTCAACTTTTGACTTTGGGGGACTGAATATTATATTAAAGGCAAGCAGACCATTGCAATATAGCATTTTAAAATTGTATGTCCTAGGTTTTTTTTTTGGGGGGGGGGGGCATAGCCCTTAAGCACCTTTATTAAACATTGACGTCCAGTGGCAAATTGAGTCACACAATCACCACTCACTGACCCTCTTTCTGTCTTCACATATTTTTTATACATCAGTTTTACTACCTATCAAAGCACTATCGGTAAGGACAATGCTTAAAATTATACTAATTGTTATTTTATTATATAATTGTTATCTTAAACTAATTTGATGGAATGCATGTTGTTACTTATAGCTTATTGTATATTGTATGATTTGTTTTGGTATTTTACCTGTTACATATTATGATGGTTTTCTTATCCTAGGTTATAGTTTTAATTTTAATATCTTTAATATATTATGCATGATACAACAGTATTTATTAAATTAATAGATCCTTATAATATTTAATCTTAAATAATGTTCTATTTAATATTTTTTAAAAGCTGCTAACTATATTCAAAAAAAATAGTTTTTTCTTACATTAATTTGTTTAAAGAATATAAAAGAAGTTAATTAGACTGTTAAACATAACATGTATACCTATTGTAATAACTAATAATTTTTGAGATTTACAAGAAACATTGTATTATTGCCTATTGATATAGTAAAAATTTTAATTAGTTTGTTACATGTTACTACATTGGCATTAAGTATATACAACTATATTAATTTTATATACTTGATTATTTTTATTGTTTACTTTATTACTAATTTTAATATGTTTATTAATTGTGATTTTTAATTTTTTTATTAAATAACTTTGTAATATAATATTAGGAATAATTGCTTAGAATGTTTACATCACATAGGTGATAGGCCTTCATTATTTTTTGTTTTATTTAATAATTAAATAATTGACAGTAGAGAAACTACTGACTAGAATACCAAAATGTTGGACCATTTTTAAGAAATAAAGTGATTCAATTTGAAATTTCTATTAAAATACATTAATTTTAACTTTTATATTTTTCCACTACAGTCTGATGTTTTTACTACCTAGTCTAATTAGATTGTTCAACTACTTTTTTTTGATAGAAACTCTTAGAAAAAAAAATATTTTATGAAAAGCAAGACATCATTGTTAATTTTAAAGAAGATCCATTTGCAGTAGTGATTATAACTCCTATGATGAAAAGAGCCCATATGCTTAGGACATCTAGTGACATAATTTTTGTAGATACAACTTCTGCATGTGATCCGCAAAATCATGCGATCACATTTATGCTTGCTCCTTGTGCTGCAGGAGCTGTTCCGTTAGCTATTATTATTACTAAAGGTATGAATATGATAAATTAATATACTTAGTTGTCTCAGTGGTACCCAAATTTTTACAACAGGTATGGCGAAATTTAAATTTAAAACCCACCAATCTTGCTCCATACATACTCTTTTTTTAAAAAAGTCTATGTTTTTCAGCCGTTCTATCCTTATAATATCAATGTGTGCCTCTGATTATAATTGATTATAATGCATAACTGTATTAAAAAGTGCAAGTTCTAAGTCCCTACATAATTTTAGTACAAATGTGTTAGTATAATGTCAAATTGTATTGCCTTAGGACAAACATATGATGCCTACAAAGTTGGATTTAATTTGGCAAAAGAAGCTTTGCCTAGTAATTATAGTTTTGGATGTATTGGATATCCAAAGATTTTTATGACCGACAATTCTTCAGCAGAAATAAATGCACTTAATCATAACTGGCCAAATAGCAAACATTTACTTTGTGTATTTCATGTACTACAAGCAGTCTGGCGTTGGTTATGGGATACCAAAAACAAAATACCAAAAGAAAAACGAAAAGATATTATTAAAAGTTTTCAAAAAGTGTTGTATGCTGATACAATAACTAAGGCCGAGGAAGCATACGCAATAGCTAAACATTCGGAATTTGAAAATTGGAATAAATATTTAGACTCATATTGGGATTTTAGATTTAAATGGTGTCTTGCATGGAGAGATGAAACGGTTAGAGGTCATCAAACAAATAACTATTCAGAAATAACCGTCAGGATTTTCAAAGACGTTGTACTTTCAAGAGTCAAAGCTTACAACGTAATAGCTTTAATAGATTTTGTTTGTACAGTATTAAATGATTATTACCGCCGAAGATTTAGGGAGTTTGCTAATTCCAGAACATCTAAAGCTAGATTATTTCTTCGAGCACAGTCAAAAAAAGCAAATGATATTAAACCAGAAAATATTAGTCAACTTTCTGAGACTGAATATATAATACAAATGTCTAGTGATGAATCATATGAAGTAAACACAAAAATTGGTATTTGTTCATGTCAGAAAGGAAAATACGGTTCATTTTGTATTCATCAATGTGCAATTTATATGCATTTTGATGCGGTGTCAGTAAATTTCCCTCCAGTGACACCGACAGATAAGCATTCAATTTCTATTTTAGCTGATGGTGATGACTCACTTCCGTTAACATTTTTTGAACCTCTTATTCCCAGTACATCACAAAATAAACTTAGCTGCAATAATGATTTTGAAAACTTACATGATACTAAAAATGATAACGCATCCAAAGAAGATCAATTACCTTGGACTGAAGTTAGTGAAGTTATCACACAAGAACCTATAAGTGTATCAATGGAAAGTATAGTAACTTTAATGAATAATTTAAACAATAAATATGGCTCATCTGTATCAGGGTTACAACAGTTAGAAACTCGATTGAAAAAAATTAATAGTGAGGGAACATGGGAGACTTTCTTACACACTGCTGGATCATCATCTGTACCATTACGTAAACGATCGGGATGTGCAATTAAAGTACAGCCTACTTCAATTGCTAGACGATCTATAACTTTAACTCGAGGTAGCAAACGATTTCCTGTAGGGCGTCCAGCTAATGTAGAAAATAAAACACAAAAAAGAAAAAGAAATCTAGGGACTAACATAAATAAAAATCTTCCAAACGCAAAACCACACGGACGTGGCCATTAATGCATTAAGTTAAAATATAAACTATTAATTATTCTATATTTAGGCACGTAACTATTAAAATATAACACATTCATTTTAGTTATTTTTAATATAGGTATACCGTATACAGGAACGTCTTTGAACTACAAAAAATAAATATAATTTTATCAAAACATCAAAATAGGTTTCTGGTTTGTATTTAATCATAAAATAAATCTATTATCTAAAGTAGGTATATAAATACATAATTTAAATTTGACTAAACTTTTGTTCTACCTACCTATATGAATAGTTTTCCACTCTGCTCATACAAGTTTTAAATAATATTAGGTAACTTATAATGTAGGTATCAAACTTTACAAAAACGTCGGAAGTACTAGGTATATAGTATATACCTATAGTTAACTTAGGTGGTAGCAATTGACAATTGATTATGTATTTATGTGTATAGTTTTTTGTTATAATTTTAAATTTATATATAAATTGCTTTAATTATTTCTAAAATTAAATCGAATATAGGACACAGAAGCAGACCTAGATTGTAAAATTACAAATTCTAACATATATTTTTATGATGAAACAAAATACCTAACTTAACCAATAATATATTATGATTAAGTTATTGATTGTTAAAATTTAAGTTTCTTAAACAATGCCTAGTTTAAAAACACCAAAATATATGTTGCATAATAAAAGTTATAATATAAGTTGTTACCTATAGGCTAGAAACCTATACAGGTAATTTTATTTCATTGATTTTAGGAGTAGACATTTTAGATTTATGTTAATATGTTTTTTGAATTATTATCTACCTATGTAAAGGTAGGTAGGTATCTATTTATTTGTATTCGCTTAGTTTGCTTTATTCTTCTGACAAAAAGTGTTGATATGAATATCATAATTTTAAATAAAGATTATACAAATCAAATATTTATTTGATATATATTATTTATTGATTTTTTATTTTTATTTAGTTCCTACATTAAATAATATAATAGATAAGTAGATTCCTTGACTCGACCCATTGATAATTGATTATAAGATTATAATAGCTGATTATTGATAAGATTATAATTTAAATAATTATATTTTGATAAGAGGATTACAGATAACTGATATACGCGCGAATTTAAATTAAACCAATCAGGAAAGCCCGGTTGTGAAACAATGTAGGGTATGTTAAAATGCTGCCCGGTTCCCTGCTGTATGCCGTTACGCCGCGAGCGCCGCATCAGGCAAGTGTGCCAATTCGGTTATCGCCGGTGCGTCGATCAACTCACCAGCCGCCGCCGTTGCTGTCCGTTGGTACCAGTGTCGTCGTGTCCAGGAGTCAGTTGGTATCAGTCCTTATCATCATCTTCGTCGTGCAGATAAGACCAACCTTGTTATTGTATATATATTATTTTGTACATCGCCATTCCCAAATCGTAGGTTTTTTGTAAGATATGATCATATCCCCCTGTGTATCATACTACTGTTTATTATATGTGTCGACAATAATAAGTTGATTCGTGCCACCAGCGCACACCATTCAATCTGTGTACGTCTCCTTTTATTTTTGTTTATGATTAGTCTCACAATTAAGGTTACCTACTCCTAGTCACACACAGGTTACTAGATATTCTTACCCGTCGCAAGTGTCGTACGGCCAGCTAGCGAGAGGACGTCAATAGCTCCGTCCGGTGCGCATACAATTGCTAATTGCTATATTATATTAAATAAACGTTCAATTAATAACATATAATATGTGTTGCAATGCAATGAATAATAATATATGTAAACGTACCTACATAATAATGTCGTAATATCCACCAATAATATGATATAGGTAGGCGCCTACCTACATAATATTATATAGTTACAAATAATAATTTCAAGAACTGAACTAACACAAATACACGAATATTTTAAGAGATTTAAAAAATGTAAAAAGGGTAAGACTGTTTTTGAGATATTATTGATTATGAACTTTGCACAATATTTAATTTGACGAAGTGAAAAATATTTTTAACATTTTATTATATTTTGTAGTATACTTTATATTATACTATGGACTATGGAGTATATTAACATAGATATTAGCTACATAATATTATAACGTAAAAAATATATTATATATAATATAAAGGTATAAATAAATAATACATTTGTTTTAAAGAATAAAAAGTTTCAAAAAAAAATATTAACAGGGTAAACAATTGAACATGGGTGAGTAATAATTAATGAAAATTGAAAATAATTGACATGCACCATTTAGTCAAAAGGATCGATGAACAAATTTTTTTTTTGGTGGTTACAAATGATTACAAATGATATTACATAATCTCCACTAGGTTTCAAGTACCTACAAGTCGAACTTCTGTAATGGCGGGCTGTAGTGACGTCTCCGTAGCCCTGCCACATGGAAACTTCGTTTTGAGCCGAAGTGGGTGGGTTACAATTTTTTTTTTGTGGTTACAAATGATTACAAATGATATTACATAATTTGACATTAATTTCCATTTATAAATCGTAAGTGGCGGGGCCAGGGTAACTAACCTTTTTATATTTTATAGTAATAATGATTTATAATATACCAATGGTTAAGCGCATAAATACGTTTAAAAAAAAAAACCAATGGCAACCAATATATAATACACTTTTGCGCCACTGTTGTATTTTTTACATCCAAATTTCCTACTTTTCCGGTGAATTTTTCTAAAATTTTCTTTCTTAGAAACTTACTACTAGCAATTACGAACATCTTAAAAAAAAATTTGAGGCAAATCGGACTAGCCGTTCTCGATTGATGAGGAAATGACAATTTTTCACGCTCTATTTTTATATATTTAGAAAATGTAAAAAATAATGAAACTTTGATATTTATTCGTCTTTTAAACCTTCTCTGGACTTCCACAAATAATTCAAGACCAAAATTAGCCAAATCGGTCGGGCCGTTCTCGAGTTTTAGAGAGACTAACGAACAGCAATTCATTTTTATATGTATATAGATTATAAATCATAATATTATTTTATACAATATTACTTTATTACTAGATGTTATTATTACCTACCTAGTCACTTTATAGTGAATACGGTGTGAATAGGTTTGTGGTACGCAAATAGCATAGAATGAATCTAAATATTTTGAAAATTGCCATGCGTACCTATGTTCCAAGCTGACTAGTACTCGATGTCTCGACCGAGTGTCAATAAATGAATTATAAGTCTGAATTCCATATTAGAGTAAAATAATGACATTATTTTAAATCCTCAAATATTTGGATGAAAATTATTTCTTGCGATAAGAAACAAATTATTGAGACGTGCAATAAAGGTGCTTTATTAAGGAATGTAAAGGTATTCCAATTATTACATTACAATACAAGTATTCGTGTTAACATGAATAATGTTGAAATTTACATAATATGTAATATCTAATATCTTTGAAAATAAATTGGCCGTATAATATATTTTCAATTTTGAACAATTTTATATCATTTTGTTGTCATGGAGATTTTCGTTTGGATGTTTATTTATACGTCCGATTACACATTTTGAATCAGTTTATATTTCGCGACCAACCATTTCTCGAATATTATAGTAATTTTCTCACCTAAATAATATATACAACAATCAATTTATGATTTTATTTATATATTATCTTATTGTTTAATAATTTTTCCATACCTTGCGTAAGGTATAAAACAAATAAAAAAAAAAAAAAATCTTACAACTGCACAACACACATACGTTCCACAAAATTATGCCAAATTTTTTGGAAAACGTCGACACGGTCGTCAAGGATGTGCTGGAAGACCTCATCGCGGCAGAGGTTTCCGATTCCAGCCAAATCGAGACGAACGTCCAGTCGGTTCTCCGGGACATTGTAGCCATGGAATTTGGACACCATCTACAACTGGATACCGACACCGATAACGTGGACGCTATGGTCCACCTTGTGTCGGAAAAATTGTCCACCACACCGCACGTACAGCCCGGAGACACATCCTTAATTGGAAAGGTTGTACTGCTGTGCTGGGAGGAGGAGGAGGACATGGCGACCAGCGGCGACTTCGAGATCGTCGTAGACGACGAAATTCTGACCGAGGATGAGGCGAGGATCATGTCGAAGGTACTGGACGGTGAAACCGGAGTCAAACCGGCAACCCACGCTGCAGTGACTTCAAGCGGGCGGATAAGGCGATTGGCGGCCTCCGCGTGGAGGGGAGTCAAACGGGCCGGGCGTGCAGTCGTTTGCCTGGGTTGATAATAACGATGGGAAAGCGTCCGCAGAACCCGACACCTCGGTCGAGGGCAGCAGTCAAGGCGAAGCGATGTGGGGCGAGGGTATAAGGTACGTAAAAGTGCACTTTTGGGGTGATCGGCGGTAAGTCACCGACACACGTTCTCCGGCCACCGGTGGCAGGGCCAAGAGATTGCAGACGTTAGGAGACCCTCTGGAGACGTGGCGGGACCAGGCTGCTTCGGTCCGAGAGCGACGACGACACCACGACGATGGCTAGCTGTACCGGAGGTACCACTGACGGTATGACTGCTGCAGCGTTACACCGCGAAGACGACTCGCGACGGTGGCGACGGAAACCGAAGAGCACACGTTGGGCGAATGACGGACGACTTTAATTATTATTATACGGTGGCTAGGGACCATATAATAATAATATAATAGTCTTCGTCGCTCACTCCGACGAGCTTTGGTCACCGTCTTCGCCATCGCCACAGATGTCTTCGGCACCTGCAGCACAATATCTATAGCAATAGAACACGTCATCGCGTACTAGCCAATCGTTGCCAACCGTCATCGTTGCTCTCACAGCCGTTGTGGTCGGGTTCCGCACGCTCCGTGGTCGTCTTCGCGTCCTCGAGGGAATGCGCCCGAGACTCTCGTCCCCCCGCAGGACCGGCCGCAAGAACTGTGTAGAGGTGACCATTGCACCACCCACTCGCCATCACGTACCCCCACTCCCACCTCGCCTCGTCTTGTTTGATGTCTTTTTTTTTTCTTACAATTATAATTCATT